CTGAAAATTCACTTCCTTTGAAAATTAATAGTTCTATTATTTTGCACTATTCTCTGTTTACAAGACTAATGACCACTGGAAAAAAAAAAGAATTTGCATTGTGTTAACTTTGTGTTGAACTTAAAAAATATCCTCTCTAGTCATATCATTATTCAGCTGGCTTATAGAGACAAGTACAAAAACAATCATTTGATATTTTTCTCCTTCCGTATTTTTTTCTATTTCTCACTTTGAAGATACTTTAAAGATGCTTAAGTATCCATTTGAGGAAAAAGAAAGAAGCACTAACACAAGTAGCCTCTTTTAAATTAACAATAAATCTTCATAATGAACTTTATAGAACTTCTACTAAGTAAAATTTCAATAATTAGATATTTTTAGTGAACTCACAAGTTCATGCAAGAAGTGTTCATTTTGGTAAAGGAATTTTTGTCACCATATTTTACTTATTGAGAATGTTCTTTGATTCTTTGAAGCAAAAAATAGGCAGGTAAAGCTTCACTTTTATTTGTAATCTCTCCTCCCACCCACCAAAAGAAGAAAATTAGAAAGATGCCAATGACCTTTTTGATAATGATTTCATTTTTCTTTTTACTAATAATCAGTCAAATGTATTATAATGATATATTTGATTGATCTTAACTTTTTTGGCCAATTATAAAGCTCTTTTGATATTTGTCTAGCAATGGCAATTAAACTTGTCCGTTGAATATTTTGGAATAGATCTTCGAACTATATTCACAACTCTCTACTTCACAGAGTGTGAATGGAACATTCACTTTCGTTTCCAGGTGATGAAGGTTGTAACATAATTCAGGCCAGACTCTTTGTCTTTATTAGATTAGTAACCTTTGTTTTGTTATCAATTTAATCCAATTTGCTAAAATAAAAAAATCGAATTTGCTTAAAAAAAAATCCAATTTGTTAAAGAATAAAATATTATGCCCAAATGTTAATTTGGTTTATAGCTCATAAGCTATTCATCAAGAATCTAGTTGTTCCTATATTATTATCATTTTAGTATATGATCGACATGGAGGTCCATTTTAGGAACATCAATGCTGGTGTTATTACCTATTCATGCCATGAAATAAACGTCCATGTAGCTAGATATTGAATAAGCACATGCTATCTTTTCCTATTCTTTCTTATTGCTCTTCACCTAATAGTTTTTCATATAATTTTCTTGAAATGTATTTCAAGTTTGTATTCCGTGTACATATTTTATCTGAAGTACAAATGGTGGATTGATTTACCATCTTCGCATATTTGGTAGAGTAATATTCACTTGGCCACTTGATTAGTGCTTGATAATTTGGTTTGTTTTACTTTTAGTTCAATACATAAAATGCACGAGGATGATAGGATTCATGTGTATTTTTAAATAAAATGTGCAAGTGCATCCACATATATGCTATCTTTTAACATATATAATGTACTATGAACGAGCTGTTGTCATGACTACTTTAGGCTTCTTCTGTTTTTTTTGTTTGCAGATTAAAACTACCCAGTAGAGCTAAGAGCAAAATTTACTTGTCATGGTTGCAAAAGACTAAAGCTCCTCCTGGATCACTTAAATTGGTAATGGTGTGTGGCTATATTGTGTTTAGTTTTATTTATTCCATTATCTTTAAGTTGTAGTTATCCACATGCTTCAATTGATTCTAACATGCCAGTAGAAAGAGTTTTTTTTATATTGTACGTTGTCTTTATTTTTCTTTTTCTTTTGCAAGCTATTTATTTAGTTGTTTGTTTGATATAAGCAAATTAGTTTTATTCCAATCAAAACCATGATGTTTTATGTTGTAATGATGTATTTTTGTAGGATTACAATTGTGCATGTTCAGTATCTTCATTATCACAGAAATTATTTTATTTAGGGGCTAAATTTTATCTCTACCATACCGTTTCGCTGACTGATGATTAGTGCATTGCTTCTTTGTCAGTCTTTCTTAAGTAATGGACTTCAAATTGAACGGCAGATAAAGAAATTACTTTTGCAGGAGGCTTCTGGTGTTTTTATCGTACTACAGATTTATAAAAATTTCCTTAGGTTATGACATTTTTACCCTGCTCAATCAGTTCAAGTAAGTCATTCATAAAGACCAAGGAACAATCAAAGCATATAATTTGGACAAAGATGTGTGAGGGAGTTTAATCACCTATTTATATATTCTTATCTATGGTATCTTAGTCAAGCAGTTATGGTAGCTACTTACTAGCAGAAGATGTTTCAGCAACCAAGTCATAAACAAGTAGTGCCTTTTGACCATCATTTTGTATGGTTATCTTCGCGGATGTCATTTCACTGAGGGACGAGATTCATTTGTCCTGAATGCGCAGTCTGAATATATATGCTTCAAGTAGTAGGTAGTCTTTTATGTTTGTTACTGTTTAATAAGGATGGAACTTGTGCTTGTGAAATCATGGTTGTTCTAAGGTACGTATTCCTATTTAAGGGTTAAATAATCGATTCTCTAAAGATTAGAAACAATCCATAAACTATATCAGCATTCTAAATGTTGGGCCCGTGCTATGCACGAGCAAGCCTCATCTAGTTCTATTATATAGAAGAGAAAGAGTTTTAACATGTGTGTTTCATGTCTTTATTATAAAGCTCGAGGGTAATTTAGTCATTTCACATAAGCTCCTACAAATTTCATATACGTGGCAGGGTTTGTGTACGCAAAACTATATGTGTAATTTTTATATGATTCCACCTGTATTTTAAGAAGATAACACGTTAGGTTTTCCATTAATTTCATTTAGATTACTTGTGTTGAGTTTCTCTGCACTCTGTTGGTATGTTGGCAGATATGTGTTGGTTTCCTTCAAACAAGAATTTGATAAAGCACAAAGAGTCTATGTATTGCTTGCTATTTTCTTGATTTCTCAGTTGCGTGTCCCTTATTAATCTTTTTGTTTCTATTATTTTGCGTCTTTCTCCAATTTTTTAAGTTGCGCCTCCCTATTTCTGATGCTTTTGTTGTTTTGTTTATTTGATCATCAATGGTTTTATTCTCATTCTTTCGTCAAGTGCTTTGTTATTTTAGTTTTTTTTTTCCAGTTTTCATGTGGTACTTAATTCTTCGTTTTTAGTTGCAGTTATCTGATAGTGTTGGTGATTTATTATCTTCCGGTTTCCTACTTCTCCTTCTTGACTATCCGAACCAAGCAAACGTTCAGAGTGATTCGTCTAGGGTGTAAGCAGGGTTGGAGTTTTCCGACCGCTGATTGGCAATTTTGAGGTACACAGCTTTTAATTATAGTAATGGATGGAAGTTTACATGGGCTAATACTGAGATGTGGTTTGAATGTGGTTTGGAGTTACCTTTTGTAGTCTTAAATTTTAGCTCCTCCATTTACCGAGTTCTTCGCCTTCTTTATTCTTCAATCTCGTTCCCAATATTGATTATTATCTCCATTCTCTTGCTTCATCTCGCCCAATTCTCTGTTTCTGCTGTCTTCCTTCTTCCATTATAATCTGTCCGACATTTTGTGCAATTCCGAGCCCTTCCCATCACTCCATCAGCCCTGCTGTCCACCAAGAGATTGGAAGGTGCAACTCAAAGAGAGAAAATTGCTTTCTTCTTGTGTTGGTCTGGAATTTTTAATCTTGAATTCATAATTTTCCCTGGATGAAAAAATTCCCCCAATTTCATCCATCAAAATTCTAACTCGAAAATTTCCCAAATCTTCTTGAATATATACAAAATCAATATTTGATCCAGTTTAATTTCACGATTTTAACGTAAAACTCCATTCTTTAATGTTTTTATTCCATTCAGGAGGCTTTTATGTAACATTTTGGTTAATTAGTTTTTGTTTGATTTTATAAATATTGTAATGCTTTCAGTTTTTCACTTTGTTTCCTGTATCTCTATTTGATCAAATAACTGCTTATTTTTTTTTGTACGTTCGAGCTGCTACACTTGCTTTGGAGATTTGTGTTGTTCCACTGCTTCTATCGATGAGTCATACTGATCATCTATTTTTGTGTTCCTCATCATGCTTTCAGGTGGTCTTCGCACTTCTCTTCCCTTTCATATATAATTTTCACTATCTACCTTTTATATGTTTGTGTTCGTGATTCTGCTGAATTTTAAGTTGGCATTTCTGTTCATAAGAACAAAATTTATGGATATTTTTGGGGAGATTGGTGCTCATCCTTTTAGTTTTTTGGCATGAATTGTTTACCCTTATGAGTGTGTGTTCTAGCTTCAGAGACTCATTAACTGCTAAGTCGAATGAATCTTATAAAAAGTTCTTTATATGGTTAGAAAACAAATATCTTTTCCAACTAATGTGTCTTGGCATTTGTATGTTTCATGGCATCGAAACATGGAGGCCGTTAGAGGTTAATGAAAGTTTATATCTCCATTTTTTTGTTTGATCTTAAATTTAAAATGTTCAGTATCTTAATGGGAGAAAAATATGATTGGTAATCATAATATTTTAACAGACTGAAGCATAAATTTGGTGGAGGTGTTTCTAAAGCTCTTATCAAAGAAGTGTCTTAAAAACTTTTCTGTCTTAATGATATTTTTTAACAACCTTTTAGTATTAAATGGCAATTGAGAGTCAAAAACAATGAGCCCAAGGACCAACTTGATTTTTATTAAAGAAATAGAGTATTTTCATTGGTAAATTTCTGGTGTCCAAGGTATTTTCACACACTAATGTGGCTGAAAAGCTAGACTCTTGATATGGAAGTTTTTAATAGTTAAATAGTAGTCTACTCCCAAGTTTCATATATGTTCTGCTGGTGTATTTTCTTCCCGTTAAATGACTTTGATGATCTATCTTTGCTTCAATGATTACTGTGAGTATATTTGTTAGATGTTACTTATTATTAAAAAGTCTGTGGTAATTAGTTTTCTTAATTTCTTGAAGTGGTTGATGCATAGGGCACTATGGTTGTGTTGATAAAAAAATGCAATTTATCTGAAAAGGATTACTATTCACCTCTGTCTAATTTTCTTTCATGTGTTACAAGAGATGATCTATATAATGAGAATGACTAATGGATGCATACCAACGTACAAGAGCTAGAGTTTCGACCTGGCTACTTCATGGCAGCAAAAGTAAAGTTAGCGATATTTTAGTCATTTTAGTGTAAACTCTACATGGCTTTTTTTTACTGAACCCACATCATACACTCATCCTTATTTTGCTATTCTTCTTCATAGTCAGCTTTCTTCTCTCTTGATCTTCCTCGGTGATGCCTCTAATTTCAATGAATTTTATTGACAATACAGAACTAGGTATTTTTTTTTTGTGCTCAATTCAAGTTTTATTTTATTTTAATTTCAATTTAGTTAGATTTTTTATGTTTTTCTGCTGTTGTATATAACTAAATTATTATTTGTTCAATTTCAGAGTTATTTATGGAAAGAGCATTATGTAGCTAATAAGGTGAAGAAGGGGTCAAGAATGGTACGCTCAATGGACATGTCTCTCTTGATAATTTGAAGTAAGCTTTTTCTTTTGCACCATTCGTCTTTGATGACATGCAAAGCCTTTTTGCTACTCGAGTCACTAAGGTTTAGGAATTTATCCTATTGTTGAATTTGAGGGGTTCTGCTTCTTTGTTTTTGCAGGACTTTGTTATTGTAGAATAAAGGTATGTATATGTACTGCTAATGGATTTTCAGTGTTGTATATTTTCATATAGTTGGTGTTCGTGTTGAAGCTAACGACCACTTTCGTTTCTCTATTTTCATGACTTGAATCTGATTTCTTAATTAAAAAATTCTTTGTGGACAAGGTGTATGACAAAATTCTTCAATGAATTGGATCGTGTCTTTGGTTTCTTATGCATCCTCTGAAGGGAACAGAGAAAATAGAATGTGATGACCCAAAAGGTCATCACTTGTTTTTAAGTTAAATTCTATGTTTCGAGGCCTTAAAAACCTCTTTCAGCATTATCTCGATCTGCGTGCGCAGTCCGGGCGTGTTGCCGGAAGTCTATATGTAAAATCTGTGAAAATGATAAAATTTGGCTTTAAAATGAATTAAGTTGACTTTGGTCAATATTTTGGGTAAACAGACCCGGACCCGTGATTTGACGGTCCCGAAGGGTCCGTAGGAAAATATGAGACTTGGGCGTATGCCCAGAATCAAATTCCGAGGTCCCAAGCCCGAGAAATGAATTTTTGAAAGAAATTATTTTCTGAAAATATAAAGGTTTTTGAAAGTGAAATGTTATGTGAAACCTATGGTATCGGGCCCGTATTATGGTTCCGGAGCCCGATACAGGTTCAATATGATTTATATGTGTTGTCGATAAAATTTGGTAAGAAACGGACTTGAAACGACGTGAATCGGATAGTTATTGAGAAAATTGGAAATTTGAAGTCATGAGAAAGTTTTATGATTTTGATGCTAAATTCATAGTTGTTGATGTTATTTTAGTGATTTGAATGCACGAGCGAGTCCGTATGATGTTTTTAGGGTGGTGTGCATATTTGGTTTGGAGCCCCGAGGGCTCGGGTGAGTTTTGGATAGGCCACGGGGTCAAATTTTGGACTTAAGGAAATGCAGGCCTGCAGGCTCCGCATTTCCCAACCTCCCTTCGCAATTCCTGGCTCGCATTTCCCAACCTCCCTTCGCAATTCCCAGCTCGCATTTCCCAACCTCCCTTCGCAATTCCCAGTTCGCATTTCCCAACCTCCCTTCGCAATTCCCATAACTGCAGCCTGCAACTTTTTATTCTTAGCCGAAAAACAACCCTTTTTCACATCTTTTCAAAAGAAAAACTCCCTAGGGCGATTTTCCAAGAACAACTCTTCTTCCAAATCGATTGTCAAGTCAATTTTTACTAGTTTCCTTCAATCATTAACATCTTTTAACATGATTTCAACTCAAAATCAACGATTTTTATGGGAGAAATTGAGTGTTTTGGGTAGTACATAGTTTTTTCAAAAAATGGGGATGTGGACCTCGATATGAGGTCCGATTTCAAAACAAATTATGTATTTTAGTTCATGGGTAAATGGGTAGTCGGGTTTTGGTTTGAACTTCGGGTTTTGGCCATGTGGGCCCGGGACTGATTTTTGACTTTTTGGGAAAAGCTTTAGAAAACTTATTTTCATGCATTAGAAATTATTTATTTAGCATTCATTGATGTAATTAAGTAACTTGTGACTAGATACGAGCGAATTGGTTGTGGAATCACGAGGTAAAGCTATAGTTGAGGCTTGAACTGAGTTCGTGGCATCGAGGCAAGTGTTTGGTCTAACCTTAGCTTGAGGGAATAGGAGTTTGGTCTGTATGCTATATGTTATGTGTTGAGTACGATGTATAGGTGTGGTGACGAGTATCTATACGTCGGCGTCGAGCATGACCGTGAGTCTTAAATTTAAATTTATTGTGTTATTGAGAACTACTACGAATGCCTAAGTTGTTGAGTCTCTGTGTTGAGCAAGGTTTATAATTATTCTCGTAGAGATTATTAATGGTTGAGCATTTGTGTTAGTTGAGGTAGTAGATGTTGGAACAAGTTTGGTTATAGTTGATTTTCCCTTGCCGGGATGTGTTCATTCTCATTGTTGACTCCCTTACCGGGATAGTGTAGTTCTTATTGATTCCTAGCTGGGACTCTTGTTATGGTTGATGTTGATTGTATATTTGGATCGGGTTGCACGCCGCAACAATGACATATTTGGATCGGGTTGTATGCCGCAACAATGAGATATTTGGATCGGGTTGCACACCGCAACAATGATATATTTGGGTCGGGTTGCACACCGCAACAATGAGATATTTGGATCGGGTTGTACGCCGCAATAATGATATGATTGGGTCACGCCGCAACAGTGTTGTTATATGTCGGGATCGGGTTGTGCGCCGCAACAATTGTTGATACAAAGTGTTTATTGATGGAATATAAGTTCCTTGTTGTTTCGTTGTAAATTCTAAGTTGTCCTTGTGCCTTATTCTTGATTTACTATTGAAACTGATATACCCCACACTATGTACCCCCTCCCATCTTTAGTTGTTTATTTCTGTTTATATTCCGCTGTATATTATATAACTGCACAGGTTCATTTTGGTAATCTGGTCCTAGCCTCGTCACTACTTCGCCGAGGTTAGGCTAGGCACTTACCAGCACATGGGTTTGGTTGTGCCGATACTACACTCTACACTATTTTGTGCAGATCTTAGTGCTGCAGATTTCAGACCGCAGTTAGGTTTTAGCTTCCTACTTACCAGGCGACCCGAGATAGTCCTGCAGGCGTCCGCAGGCCTTGGTGTCTCCCTCCATCTATTTTTCCTGCATCTCTTATGTAGTTCTAGAGACAGTATTTTGTTATTTCTTTTAGACCCTTATTTGTAGTACTCTTAGACAGTCTGTGAAGTTGTGACACCAAATCTTGGATGGTTTTGTTTTGGGATGGTATTAACAGTATTGTTAAGTTTAAAATTTATTTCTTCCGCTTTTTAAATCATGTTGCTATAAACTGTTGAAGCTAAGTCATTAAATAAAATGAAAAGTGGAAAATAGGTTAAATAGTTCAGTTAGTTGGCTTGCCTAGCTTTCACTAGTAGGCGCCATCATGACTCCTGAGGGTGAGAAATCCGGGTCGTGACAAGTTGGTATCAGAGCTCTAGGTTACATTGGTCTCATAGTTCACAGACAAGCTTAGTAGAGTTTGAGGGATCGGTACGGAGACGTATGTATTTATCCCAGAGGCTACAGAGTTAGGAAAAACTTCACATCTATTCTTTCCTATCGTGCGATTTTGTTCTCTCACTGCTAAATTGAAACCTCTACTCTTGTTCTCTCGCGAATGGCGAGGTCACGTATCGCTTCTTCAGCCGAGCAGCCGCACAAATCGGTGATGGAGCAGGTATGTCTACCGATGTTTTGTAGAGATTGGACAGGTTCACCAAGCTCATCACTACTACATTCAGCGGTGCATCTTCTATTGATCCCCATGATTATCTAGACAGCTGTCATGAGGTTCTCAGGAACATGGGGATAGTCGAGACCAATGGGGTTGATTTTGCTACTTTTCGCTTGTCTGGATCCGCCAAGACTTGGTGGAGAGATTATTGCTTGGCTAGACCAGCTGGATCACCAGCTTTGACTTGGGAGCAGTTTACTCAGCTATTTCTGAAGAAGTTCCTCCCTATCACTCAGAGAGAGGTCTATCGGAGGCAGTTTGAGCGTCTCCAGCAGGGTTCTATGACCGTTACTCAGTATGAGACCAAATTCATCGACTTAGCTCGTCATGCTCTTGTCATACTTCCAAACGAGAGGGAGAGGGTGAGGAGGTTCATTGAGGGACTTATCCAGCCTATTCGACTTCAGATGGCTTAGGAGACCGGGAGTGATATTTCTTTCCAGGAGGCGGCCAATGTGGCCAGGAGGGTCGAGATGGTTTTGTCACGGGGAGGCGGTCAGGGGTCTGACAAGAGGCCCCGTCATTTAGGCAAATTCAGTGGTACCTCGTCTGGAGGCAGGGATTCGTATGGTAGAGGCCATCCTCCTAGGCCCTTTCAGTCAGCGTTTCAGGCTTCTCACGGTGCTTCAGGTGGCCGTGGTTCTCATACACAGTATTCTGATCAGCAGCCCTATAGTGCACCACCACCTCCTATCATTGCACCGCCACTCCAGGGTTTTCGGGGTGGTCATTCAGGTCGTCACGGTCAGTCTCAGTTTCCTCAGCCGCAGCACTCTGGTGGATGCTTTGAGTGTAGTGAGTATGGTCATACCCGAAGGCCTTGTCCGAGGTTAGTGGGTACTCAGTCGCAGTAGCAGGGTTACCATGCTATGGTTCAGGCACCAGGTGTTCCGCAGCCCGTCCAGCCAGCCAGAGGTGGGGGTAGAGGTTCTAGAGGTGGAGGTAGAGGTGCTAGAGGTAGAGCTCAAGCCGCTAGGGGTGGAGGCCAGCCAGCAGCAGGCCATCCCAGAGAGGTAGTCCAGGGTGGTGGGGCCCAGCCCCGATTTTATGCTCTTCCATCTAGGCCGGAGGCTGAGGCTTCCGATGCAGTTATCACAGGTACAGTTTTGGTTTGTAGTAGGGGTGCTTCAGTGCTATTTGATCCAGGGTCTACCTACTCTTATGTGTCATCTTATTTAGCGTCGTATCTGGTCGTACCCAGTGATTCTCTGAGTATTCCTGTTTATGTGTCCACCCCCGTGGGTGATTCTATTATGGTAGATCGTGTTCATCGTTCTTGCGCGGTTGTGATTGAGGGACTTGAGACCCGAGTAGACTTATTACTGTTGGATATAGTCGATTTTGATGTCATACTGGGGATGGATTGGTTGTCACCTTTACCACGTCCGACTCTTCGGTAGTTAATTCCAAGACTGTGACCTTAGCCCTACCGGGTTTACCTCGTTTAGAGTGGAGAGGGACTCCTGGTCATTCTACCCGTAGTGTTATCTCATATATGAAGCCTCGGCGAATGGTCGAGAAGGGGTGTTTGGCCTATTTGGCATACGTTCGTGATTCCAGTGCCGAGGTTCCTTCCATTGATTCTGTGCCTGTAGTTCGTGAGTTTCCTAAGGTATTTCCTTCAGACCTGCCGGGTATGCCACCCGACAGGGATATTGATTTTTGAATCGACCTGGCTCCGGGCACTCAGCCCATTTCTATTCCGCCATATAGCATGGCCCCGCCTGACGTTGAA